GCTCTGTTCCCCTCATTGAGGAGAAAGACCCTATCGTTCCCGGATGTCTTAGCCGCAAGGGCAGCGGCTTTCGTGGCAATGGTTGCAGCAGAGCGATAGCGGAAAGGGAGGATTACGATTTCCACACATGCGGCGTCTGCAGGCGTATGTAAGCGAGGATGCGGTTGAGCTTCTCGGTGGATAAAAATGAAATTTCGAGGCCGTAGAAAAGTCGACTGTTAATAACAGCCCGGGCGACACGAAGGTGGATCTCACGGTTGCAGGAGCGCGGGCGAGAGATTGTCCTGACGATGTTGAGGCGGCTACGACAGTGCTGATCGAAGCTTAGAGTGCGATCCAGAACTACCCCCAGAACACGCACTGTTTTCTTGAGCGGAATCGGATTATCTTGGATGGTGATCGGTGGTCCCCGAATCAGATGGCCCGAGTGCCAGATATGGCACCGTACACTCTTCGGCGCGGAGAGCTGGAAGCCAACCGAAAACGCCCACCTGCTGACGGCGGAGACTGCTGCTTGGGCTATATTCCTGGTCCGCTTAGTCGTTCGTCCCGTTACGACGATGAGTATGTCATCAGTATAAACGATTGCGTGCACGTTCTAGGGCAGTCGATTGAACACTCCGTTCATTGCCACCAGGAATAGCGTTACCGCTATAACGGAACCCAGGGGAACGGATCCGAGCGAGTGTTCCCGACAACCACCAAAGTGTGTGATGTGACCTTCCAGGCCCCAGCCAATGAGCTGCCTGATGACGCCCGGTGTCCACGTCCTATTGAACGCCTTTCTAAATATCAAGGAAGACTAACTCCGCGTGGTTAACTTTGTCTTGGGCTTCCTTAAGTACTTTCCCGAGAGCTGCAAAGTAAGTGCTGCCATTCGTCAAGGAGACCGTTTGACTCCAGGAACTGCTTGAGGCGACGATTTACTATTCTCTCCATCACTTTTGCAGCGCAGCAAGTGAGCGCAATCGGCCTAAAGGAAGCGGCTTCTCCATCCGCCGCGTTGTTCTTTGGGATGGGTACTACCAAGCTTTGTTTCCAGAGGTCCGGGTACGAGTCGGTGCGCCATAGATCGTTGAAGAGGGCGAGTAGCCTCGTTTTTCCGGCAGATTTACCACTACCGCTGCCGAAGGCAAAGTGAAGTTCCCGAAAGTCAAAAACTTCGTTGATTTGGAGAGGAGGAATTCGAAAATCACGAATGCTGCTTGTGGAGGGGTTGACGCGCTGGATGAATTCGCTGTCGTAGCCACTGACAGCAGACAAACCGGCGAAATAGTTCCCTAATTCGTCGGCGTCGGCGTCTTCGGTTCTGAGATCGTGGTGCCATGAGCTTGGATAGTAGGTGGAGTAGACCGTCGCTTGCCACTAACAGCGTTGACGCGATTCCACAGGTCACTTGACGATTGGGATTCGTCGATTGAATGCAGGAAACCGATCAAGCTAGATCGCTTTGCATCACGGATCACCTGTCTGCACGAGAGATGGCGTTATCGGTAACACTTCAGCGCTTCCTCCCTACCAGGATCATCTAAGGCGAGGCGCTAAACCCGGCGTAATGCTTTGCGTCACGCTTTCACCGCACATTTGGTATCCGCGTTCCACCAACGTAGGGATTTTCGCCCGGGTACGCTACCAGTCCTTGGAATGGATAATGTTGCAGCTTCGTAGAGTACTTCGGTGAAGCTGGTGATATCGTTCGGATCGCGTTGCTGAAAGAGAGCGTCGGATTTCTCCCTGAAAGCGTCCCAGTCGGCTTCCTCGTAGCGCCACCTGGGTCTTCGAGTCGTTGGGGGGACTGCACCTATGGAGAGCTGTATACGGATCGGGTAGTGGTCGCTACCGTGCAAGTCGTCCGATAAAAACGGTGGAAGCGCCGTCGTTCAGCACCACCAGTTCCTCTCTTTCTCTCTTTCTCAAAATGGTTCGCCTGAGTAGAACCTCTGGGGTCTGGCCGACGGCTGCTCCAGTCCGGATGGTGTCCATTGAAGTCGCCGACGATGAGCCGCGGCTCCGGAAGCTTGGAAATAACTGCATTTAAGTCTCCATCCAAATTTGTTATCCTTCCACAGGACAGGTACGCGCAGCCGATAGCCAAGTTTGCGGTGTTCTTGAGATTAACACCGACAATTGACAGGTCGGTTTGGAGGTCAAGAACTTGGTGTGGAATGCTCCTAAGCACCCCGATGGCTACAGAGTGCCTGAAATTGCCGCAGCGCTTGTAACTTCAATCGTATCTCCCTCCCAGAGAACGATTGAGTTGGTCGTTTGTGATTTTGTTGACCTCTTGTAGAGCGATTATCCAGGGGACATCGCTTTGGCAGAGGAGCTCTAATTCGCCTAGGCGGCCAAGGAAACCGTTTATATTTCACTGGAGGATCAGGTTCACCGGCTTGGGCAGTGCAGGCGTGGGGTACGAGATGGTAGACTCGGCGTTGTCACGGTTTTGACTGCCGCTCTGATCAACGGGCAGCTTCGGTGGAGCCTGCGTAGGAAACTTCTCTCCTTCGTAGCTGGGGTCTACGGAGTGGTGGATGTTGTAGATACTGGACATATCGAAGTGTCTGGCGTCGATGATTGGCTCAATAGTGGTGTTCGATTCAATCAGAGCCCCACCAGGGTCAGGCCGAGGCGTTCCACTTTTTAGGTAAATTTAGTTCATCTTGTAGATTTTTTTGATGTAGGACTACGTCAGTGATTTCTATATGGGGTACACTTTGTGAAAATGGAAAATGGAACATGTAACAAAATTATGAAAGATTTTGAACGTTAATAATTCAGCTGCCCCTGGACCAATTTCAATAATTTTATCGCCAATCGATCAGAAATATTTCTGTTAAATTTAAGACATTATTATTTTCCAAAATTTCACTATTGAAAATTGCACGGATGTGCAACTGTTTCTATGATAGTTAAAATTATCACCAATTGCCTGTGAAAAGCGATTTCCCTAACACAGATTTCAAAGTTGAATTCCATCCGGTCTCACCAAACGGTGTTTATTCAATCACGTGGTGAGTGGTGGTGTTCTCCAGTACACATCGAAAGGCTCCCCGCAAGTAGCTAGCTATCAAGGCTGGCCTCAACCGCTGATCGGATTCAGTTCCAATCACCGTGTGTGGTGGCGTCAAGTAGTCGGCATCAGCTTCAGCAGCAGTGCTTTCGGCATGTGGCATTGAACATTGTTCTCCAGTACACGACGAAAGGCTGCATGCAAGCAGCGAGCTGCAGCCCACTGCTCATCCATAGAAGGAGGACGAAGCCGCACCACTATTGATCGGAATCAGTAGCTCTTCGTGAATCGCTGTCGGCCATCTATGTCAAGCGTGTCATACTAAAGAGTATAAACAGAGAGAACCCCGCTCGAATTCCTATTCCTTCACAAAACACAAGCTCCTGCTGCAGTTAACATTTATTATATAAGACCACGTAGTCCTACGTTACCATTGCGTACAACCCCATAGGGCTGTCCCTTGAAGTTTTTAGTTTTGTTAAAGTTTTAGCATGATTTTTGGTTTTGATGAAATGATTATTTTTGAATCAAGTCTATGATAAACGATGACATGCGTTTTGTTATAGCTATTAAAATAATAGAATCAAGATTATTTTCCTGGTAGATTTTAAAAATGCCCGACCTTTTCCTGGTTTTCCTGGTTCACTTGCCACCTAGAAACATAACAAAACTCAGCGTACTTCGATCTTATGAAAAAATGTCTCGATCACATCTGCAAACTCAACGAAGCTGAGCACGGGATAACATTCTATCTTTCATATAATGAACATTCAGCAGCAGGAGTTACTTTGAAAACATTCCAGCCCAACAACTTTTCCACGCAAACTCTCGAGCTAATGAAGTTTTCAGCAAATTCCTCCCACCCGAAAAGAAAAAAACAAAACAAAACAAAGCAAATAACGCACCACAGAAACAAACCAATCAAACAGCGCCTTTCATGGGAAAATCATAAACTTGACGTCCTTATCGGCAGTGGCCATCAACACGGAAAGCAACGCAAAACGACATGAAAATCGTTCTCGTCCCATATGTCCGTTCGCGTCCATCACCGTAAACAGATGGCACCCCCCTAGTCCTACTTGAGTCGGACGACGACGACGACGAGGACGCCGACGACCACGAGCAAAGTTTGTGGAAATGTTTCCACGCCGCCCGCACGCCCGCGAGACAGACTAGGCTAGGGAGGAGAGAGAGAGAGAGAGCGATGAATGAGCAAAACTAACTCTATGAGCTATGCGATCTCGGCGAGGGAGCGTGAGAGTTTTCCCCCCTGTCGGGGGAGATAACGGGGGTGGTGAAAATTGTAGCAGGCCATGAAGAGCGTGGTTACATCGTTAAATGCACCGCTTGCTATGTGTGAGTAACCGGTGGCGACGGGAGGTTACTTCGATTGTGTGCGTTTTCCCCTTGTCGGTCGGAAAAAGGAAGACGAATAGGTAGGTTGGTAGGTAGCATAGGCTCTGCGAGCAGTACAAAAGCGAGGAAAAAAGGAACGCTAAAAGGAAAGACCAACTTCTTTTTCCGCTGCTGGTCTCGATCTAAGGCGGGGGGTTCCCAAGAGATTTAAAAATAAATTATCGGTACACGACAGTCGTCAGTTCGAGTAATGGAGTAAAATAGAAACCGAGGAGAGTAACACGACACGACCAAGTTTCGCCTGCTTTTATATGCACTTTGTTATGGCTTTGCTCCTCCGCGAAGCGTCCTGGGGAGCGAAGCGGGCCTTGGCGTGTGTGTAGACTGTCATTTTACGAGCTCGCTGGGGATTTACTGGGTGTCTCTACTCTCCCCGTCCCTTTCACGGGGCCTCTCCCTGTTGATGACTGTTGATAGTGAAAAGGGCAAGTAGGATAAATGGGATTTTTGGGAGAGTGGAATGAAAAGTGAAAATACCAAATGTTTTGGGGTAAATGCCCGGAAAGGGAGGTTCCAGGGTGGGGCCGCGCGCGTATTGGAATGATTATAAGCTACTGCTAGTTAGGAGACTTACCATGCCAGAGGTCTTGTCCAACGCCAGATGATTCAAGGTAGAATTAAAAACTATTTGACTAACTAGTCGGCTGCTAAGGTTTTCTGTGCCGTTTGCTCCCTTCAGAGGGAAGTTGCTGTTCGCCAGTGGCTGCGCGCACAGAATTTTAATGAGGATGATAAGGATGATACCGCACCACTGGATTCGCTCCATTGCTATGAATTCTGTAAAGAGAAAAACAGGCAGAGAAAAAAATCGTTACATTTTGTATCATCAGTCGTCTAGGTTTGGCTGGCTGCTCCGGGCGCGGGTTGGCATGTGCATTGGCCCCGGTTACGACTTTAAATCCTCTTTACGAGGAAAACGACGAAGGTGGACTCTTGAACGGCTTCCTTGGCTGGAAAACAGGTACCCTCCTGGCCGGCGGCACACTCATTCACTCACTCACTCCACCCACTCATACAATCACAAATCGAGCTCGAACTGCAAACCAATTCCTCAAACAAACTGCAGCCTACTGCTTCTCTATTTGCTGACTCTGATGTATATCCGACTTCACACATCATCATCATCATCCATCCCCGGCGATGTGATATAAAGAGTACATATTGAAGATGATGGAATGGAACGGATCGAAGTAGGCTTTCGACTTTCGATGTTGGAGGCGACGGCGACGGCGGCGGCGGCAGTCAATTACGAGTAATAATTCCCGAACAAAAGAAGAAAATCGGCCTCCTGTGCGCCGCTGTGTGCGAGCAACAAAACAACATGAATGTGCTGGATCCGTTGCTGGAAGAGTAGGCGATGAATGGAATCCGTAGAGTGGAGTGGCGATGGCAGCAGCGCGGTGGTATCATCGGGCAGAGCCAGTCGACGACCCGAAAAGCTTCTCAAAATGCAATAATACACATCGTGTATCGTGTGTACAAGACGTATTATAGTCTGCCATGCCACCACCATTCAATAGGTTTGCTGTTGTTGTTGTTGTTGGTGGTGGTGTTGCTGTGCGGTGTTAGAGATGCGAGGAGATGAAGCACACAAAGAGAAAGAGACGGTCGCTCTGTGTAGGTGCTTTCGTGGCTCGACTGCTGTGTCCTACATCACTTTTGGGCTTTGCCCCATTGGGATGTAGCTTTTGGTTATTTGGTTTGCCGAGGGGCAATGGGAGCTGATCTTTTATTGCGAAAATATTAGGTTGACACAGGAGAACCATGTACCAGCTAAAACATCGTAAATTTCCCAAGCATGCTTTGCTGAAGGAACCTTTCAGCAGATTCAAGCATCGTACCGTGTTGGAAAGTTATTTTTTGAGAGGTTCACAGGAACTCGAAGGTTCCTGAAATTCAAGACCTTTCAGTTTTTTATGTGGGTAAACTCTCAGCATTGAATTCGATGACTTATTCATAATAAGAGACAATTGGTCTTCAACTTAGCATTTAGGTGAAAATTGTGGAAAGCATTTCTTTCAATTTTTTTAGATCTTCAATTCAAGTTCTGATACCTTCCCTGATTAACCCAGTGATCTACAGTGGATTCCCTACAACTCGAATAGGATATCACTATCACAGTAGCCATGAAATTCATTTTTACTATGGTTTCATAACTCGATATCGAGTTAGTTCACATTAGAAAAACTTGAGCTCAAATGCTATACTTATCTTGACCAATGCTGTTCTCTGTAATATTTCCTTGAATTTTTTTACAATTTAATTTGTAGTCAACTCACTCGGTTTTGAAAACATCGTTTAATCAACGTTTATAGCATATAGCTTTCGTGATCTTGGTTACACCAAAAGTTGCGGTTTTTGACAATGTTGTTAAGGTTAAGGTTGTCTAGGTTGTCGAAAATCGCTCACTAGGTCGCTCTAGTGCTCAGGTGAACTTTGTGTACATACAACATTTCTGAATCCTGGCTATATTTCTGCTGGTGATGATTACCTTTACAAAGGTTTGAGCTGAACGATTTATCTTAAAGATAAATAAAAATAACTTAACCAGATTAGCAAACAAAAGCGAAGTGGTTACAGTTACAGATATTAATTCCCTCTATAATTTATAGTTGCTTTACAGCGGTATAAATGTTGGAAAGCTTAAGCGTCCACCTCTTTGTTCACTCTTTTGTACACCTTAACAGTTCACAAGTATTCCCAGCGATAAAGAGTTCATGAAGAATCAACAAAGCATCCAATTACAGCAACCCCTCAATACAATTTTAAGGATTTCAGGATTTTCAAGTAACCCCCGACTTCAACCAGAAAACTTACTGCTAATTCAAGGTTAAGTGACCAAATACTGACTTAAAGTTGTAAAAAAGTGACTAAAAAGTAACCTAAGGGAAGAAAATTAGTCGTTCTGATGGCATACCAAATAAATGTTTGATGTTTTAGACTTATTCATTTAGATTCTCATAAGCACTCCGCAGCGAAATAATTAATATAGTTCTATGATTTTCACTGAAGGTCTCAAGATCTGTATGAAGTTTAAATCATCGAAACTAATTCATAGCTTCTTCGATAGTCTAGAGTTTCCTGATGTTTATAAAACTGCCCAAAATATTTCTCAATTTCCTTAAAAATCTCTAGACTGCCATGCCTTAGTATTTTTTAAAAGAATCCACCATTTTAATGGAATTGATTGAATTGCCTTTAAGTTCTACAATTCTCCTTAAGTTTTATAAAGTTTATAAACGCTCACGGAACTTTTCCTTAAATCACTAATTTTCCCTACAAGAAGAATGCTTACCTTAGTTTCTCTAAATTGATCAAATGTTCCGGTAAATTTTCTGATATATATTTATAATTCCCCGAAACTTCTAAAGTTTTCGGATCAATCATAGAATTCTCGGAATATCTCATAATTCCAAGGAACTCCTTGTAAGTCGCTGCAAATTTCATCATGAAACAATCCTGAATTTGTCAAAACTCACGCTTATAGATTTTTTAACCAATTCAATAGTGTGGGTTGAGTGTTCACTCGGCTATCGATAGAAGTAGGCCACTCTCGATATGTGTCACGCGATCGTTTGTTTACTAGGCAGCAACCATTATGTGGTCCTCCTCATTGTTCTTCATCATCAGTTCTTTCAGTCGATGCGTCGTCGACTTTGGAAAGCAACCGTTTCGTGATGAATGTGTGAGTACTGACCACGTTTTGCGTCCATTGCTGCAATGGAAGCGCTCTCACCCCGATTGGCGAATCTGCCATACAATGAAACCACTGAAAGCGGCAGGAGGCTTACAGCATAGTTGAAGATAGTGTTTATTGTGTTGTACCTTTTGACTATAGTTTTAGTGTTTTGTATAGTGAACAAGAATCTTCGGCTCTGTAAAGTTAATTCGGTTGAGCCTTATCAAATAACTTAATAAATAATAGTCTGGGCTAAAGTTTGGGGGACTTCCCCTAAAGATCTCTGGAATCCCCCAAAGATCTCTAGATCTAGCTTTTCTGAGATCAATAGAACTTCATTAAAGTTTCCACATTTTTGATAGTACGAAATGTCAAGACATTAAAAATGTTGTAATCTTAGACTTAGTAAAATGAAGTAAGTGTTCAACTTCAAAATTTAATGGATTTGAGTTAAAGCTGATTCTTTAAAACTGATTGTTATGTCTTTAAAACGTTTGCGTTAAAAACATATTTTTCACGCATTCCATAAATAGCATTCTTATTATAATCCTGGAAATCATCCGCCAAAGTTATGGAAAAAACCTGGAAAACTCAGGAAACTTTATTCAGCCAAATGAATGGACACTCTGTAGATAGAGAAGAACGATTAAACGTAAAAATATTCTATATCAGGTCGTAAACCTCGAATTGTTCAAAAATAGAACAAAATATAGGCCTATCCAGAAGAATGATCAATCTTAAAATAAATTCAAGTTTAAAAAAGTTTGAAATAGTGACTTATTACAAGAAAAAGTGACTTTAGTGACTTGGCCTTAACAAAAGAGACTTTTTAGTGACTGGCTAAAAAAAAGTTACCAAGTCACTAAAAAGTGACTCACTACCAGCCCTGTTAATGTTAAATTCAGTCCACTCTACCCATAATACGTACGCGAGACTCAAACCTTTGTAGTCTAGGGTAAGTGTAGCAGTTATAGCACTAGTGCTCCAGTTTTTGGCCCTAGTGACTACACACTTAGAAATACCTAATCTTACACGTGACGGAATTGTTACCGTTTTGGTTCCTGCACCCTATTGATTTACTTCAAGCGAGAAAAATCAGAAGATAGCGAGAGCGAAGAATAGGGTATATGTGTATTCATTGTGAATTCAATATGTATCTCAGTTTCTTGTATGCAATGTTGTCTTGTTTTGAAAGTAAATATGTAAGTCAAATGAAAGATCACTCCCAAACCAACGGTCCAATTAAATATTGTAACCCAGTCACACCAACAACACAGAACACATAACGGGAAGGAGTAAGGATGAAGGTGGGCATTGGAAACAGGAGAAGGATACGGTCAGGGGGTGGTGGAAGAGTGGGAGGGAGGTGGAAATGGGCTTAGGTCAAGGGGGAAGCTACTGGGTCAAACTGAAGAGAAGGTTCTCTTTCACTACAGCCATTGCGCGAGATAGATCTATCTGCCAAGTTTGTTATAAGTTTTTGAAAAGAAGTGAAATATACAGAGTCGCCAACAAATACCGGCTAATACCACCGAATACGGAGTCAGGTAGGACCCAATTAATAACCCGGTAGCGGAATTCCCAGCCCTAAGACCACCTCTTATATTCCCCTCGGGACCCATTAATTACAGGCTAAACTACGAGGGTGTCCGTTAACACGCCAACACCCGTGTAGCAAGCGTCCAACGGTAATACACCGACAACCACTGAGAGACCACCGTTGATCACCCGATCGAGCCCCAGTGCAACATCCGTCGTGCGGTGACAACCGTCGAGCACCGGCATCCACTGTGAACAGTCCGTTCATCCGCCACCGAAAAACCCCACCCACTGCAGAATTCCGTCATCGGTGGCTGCTACACACACACACACACACAAACACACACACTACATACACCGAAACCGTAAGTAATACAAGAGTGGAAAATAAAGCTAAGGTGTTTTGTACTTCGGATCAGTGTCGACAACCCAGGAGCCGACCTTGAAGCTCTAGGGTTTCAAGCTCGAGCTAGCCCACAAAAGAGGCGAGTGTAGCGCACCCCAGACGATCTCCGTGGCTAGACCAGAGGTTAGGGGAATCCCTTTAAACTAGCCCATC